GAATTACTGAAATAAATCGACTTTTTCATGATATTCTAATTTTATGACCAGCACCTGTATTCAAGGATTCAAGGAAGTTTTATTGTCATTTGAAACACACATGCATGTGGTGGAACAAAATTTTGTACTCAAGGTCCCGGTCTATCCGAAAATATAGACAAAATAAATAAATATACTCAAAGTTTACAAAAATTTACAACAAAAGAAATCAGATATAAAATGTGTGCAACGGTGCCAGAATTGCAAATACATGCAAAAATATGCAATTAGTTAATTTTATTTATTTATTGAGGTCTTGTGTTTCAGTCTGTGGTTTTAAGAGTTTAAGAGTCTCAGCGTCTTGAACGAAGCTGTGAGACTGTGTGGTCTTTACCACCCTCTGCAGAGATTTCCTCTCCGCCACAGTGCAGCTTCCGTGCCACACTACAGGATGTATCAGAAAAAAATGATACTCTCAGAAAAATCACCATAAAATTAACAAAGATAATAATTTTGAAAATGTGGGTGTAACCTTTGGTAGAGGGGATCATTCTGCTTTGAATGACAATAAAATCTTAACGCTTCACGCTCCTGTGAGCAGGGACAGTTGCAAATTCACAAAATTCATGTCCTTTGTGCAAGGAAATGTGAGGGTTAAAACATGATCTGTCATAAAATTAAAAGTTTAGATGGTGTTTTACACGCATGCCAAGGTGTTTTTAAAATAATTAACCCTTTCATGTCTTAATGTTGAAACAAAAATATCTGATTTCTGAGTGGATCACAACAAGCACATGTGACGTGGCCGTGGACAAGTCACTCCAGTCAACTAACATTACATTTAATGGCTAATATTATGTATGACCTTAATCTCAGAATATTAGGACTTTATTCTCGTAATATTGACTTTATTTTCTTTGTTTGTTGGGCCTAACCTTGACACTCAGACATTAATTCACACTGCCAGACAGGACATGGTAAAAAATAAATAAGAAATAAAATTTTCATTTTTTTTCTCATAATGTGATTTTTTTTCTCGTAACCATAAAATTTAGTTTAGTCTACAGGGATCCATAAATCTTACAGAGTAACTGTTCAATTATTAGTAAGTATTGAAATAATATGGTGTTTGGATGTAATATATTCAGAATCAAATGTTTAGAGTGAACTATCACATGACCTGCTTCAGCACAACTGATTTCAATTGATAACTGATTAACAGGCTTTTGTTGAACTGCAATCATCTGAATCAGGTGTGTTAAAGCAGGACAGTGTGCCTTGAAGACCACATCAGAAACACTGATTTACACTTTTGCATTTCCTAAAATGGTTCTGGTGTTCAGGCAGAAAGAGTACACATGTTGTGCATAAGTAACTAAATACATTCCATATTCTTCCTGTGTAAAACTTAGTTTTAGATTTACTTTCATTGAGGTTCTTGATATGTTAGATTTAGGTGGTTGAACATTGAAATTAATCGTAATATGATTTTATTCTCAAAGAAAACAAAAAGAAGAAGAATCTCATTGTGTGGCCCTAATACTCCATCTTACTAATCTAACCCCAAGRACATCTTTTCCTGGGTACATTTCACACTCGGTATGTGAGCTTTATGTTGAAACTCACACTGTTTTCTGGTTTTGGAGTATTTTCATGTCAGTGTTACAACATCACATATATACAGCACCAGCTTAGCTACGATAGCATTTTAGGTCATAATCAAGATTTTTGTGTGGATGATAACATTTYTAAAAACTGTGGCATGTTTTCAAGAATATATTTAAAAATATAAGTTTTGGAAAACGGTGTTTCCTTGTAGACAAAGCCTGAGTTGCTCCATTCATGCAAACTAAACTCACGTGCAAACCACTCCCTCCTGAGGGTTGTTGTGTTTCCTGTCCACAAGATGTTTAGTTGCTATGACTTGGTGTTCAAGTATTGATCAGAGTCTCTGTTAAAGGCTTTCCACTTAAAAATCACAACTGAWAACCTTCGTACCAAATAGTTTAGGCCCAGACTAAGTAGTTTTGTAATTGTCCAGTTCAATCTACATTTTGTGATTGTACTTATTACTTTATACCAGGGTTATTATAGTTAACTAAAAGTAAATAAATAAAGAAAACTGAAATTGAAAAAATCATTTTAGTTAACTAAAATAAAATAAAAACTCTAATAAAATGAAAAAAAAAAACAATAACTAAAACTGTTTAATCTTTTTACAAAACTAACGTAAACTAACTGAAATTATAGGTAAAATATCCTTAGTTTTAGTGTTTGTCAATTTATTTTGAGACAAGTGGATCTTTTTTTTATTCGAGTAGTTTCACATCAGCTATGGGCAGCTTACAGCACCTCATGGTCCATAACAACACTTGTTTACAGTCTGCTGCTGCTCAGCATCACCTGCTAAATGATGACAGCAAAAGTTGGAAGAAAWCGGCAACGTCCACTTTGGGATTTCTATGAATTCGAAACCAGAAAAATAAAAGCAAGTGTCTTGCAGTGTATACAGGTGATAAAACAGGTTCTCAAGGGAAAACTGCATGAATAAAGCTCACACAAGATGCTAACTATGAGCATCTTGACATGATAGCTTCTCTCAGTAGCTCCATGAAAAACAAGCAGCAGGTTGGAGACAACTACTGTCATCGTCCTAAAATAATCACCAAGTTGTTAGTTGGTAAAATTGAGTCACGCAATTATTTTAGTAAGGTGTTGYTGTAATGGACTGCTTTAACTAGCGACCAATAAAGAGGTGTTGGTTAGTGAACTCACAGGAACATCACAAGCTGGAGGATGCATTGACAAATATGTTTGTTCAAACTATAAAAAAACTAATAAAAACTAAACTAAACTAAACTAAACATTAAAAATGCAATAATAACTAATAAAATCTAGCAAATTCACTGTAAAAACTAATTAAAACTAACTGAATTAATTAAAAGAAAAAAGTCAAAATGAAATAAAACTAAACTATAATGAAAAATCCAAAACTATTATAACCTTGCTTTACACTCAGTCTCTAACATACTTCTTCACTTAGTTTTTTGCTCYCTCCTGAACCTGCCCCTCCTCCCTGCTCTGCAGCTTTTTCAAGCCTTTTTTCTACCAACCAACTGAAACAAAAAGGAATTATGGATTTGGTCAACTGGGCTCTGATGCAATTGACACTATTTTTTCCACATTGAGATTGGAACAAGGGGAACAAAGCTGTCCCAGTGGAAYGTTTGCTGCTGGTCGTGTCAGTGGTTCCTGGGGGGCTTGGAACCTGTGTCTGGTGGTACTTTCCATTGAAGACGTGGAAGATTTGTATGTATTTGGATTTATGATAACTGCATTTCTGCTGATTAGCGGAGGTGGATTTCTGATTTATTGGAAAGTGATCCTGACAGCGGTCCRGGCCATTGAGAAGCTGTCAGGCACAATGGATGGAATCTGCCGGAGTGGGAGTGCACCACAGACTCAGMTGCTGGGGGAGATAAGTCGCAAACTGGATGTGATTCTGAAGAGAATTACAGCTCAGCAACGTGCCTCTGGCATGTAGGATCACATCTGGTGAAGCTTCAGATGGTGAGAGGTGAGGAAGACCCAAAATTTGGAAAATTAGTTTTTTTCCCGCCATTTTCAGAGATGCAGTAAGACTGAAATCCAAGAAATTCAAGGCTGCTTGTCCCAAAACAATTGTGTTAGCTTTTCAGCTCCCAGCTGCTTGGCCTCAACTGCCTAGATTTCTAAACACCCCAGGATGATACGTCAGCAAGGGCTTGATTCCCTTACCTCCACCGCATCACCCACRTGCGATCTGATCTGAAGGCCGTGGAGGGGAAACTCTGAACTCTGGTGAACTGAGAATGAGACGAATAAGGTCTGGTCTCTGGACTCTGGCGAGTCTAGGATCGGTTCCAGCATGGAGAAATCAACCACAATGTCACCGGCTCCACTGAATCCCACCCTCATCTCATGTGTTTGACTCTGTGTTTAATGATGTAAACATAGGATCAGAGCAACTTTTTTTAACTCATCTCTCCTATTGTGTTTTTCCAAGCTACAAAATGTAGCGCGACCCTGTAGCACAAGACCTGTTCACCTGTTCCCCCATCTTTTGTCATGTGTGTTTTTCTTGAAACAGGTGATCTTAACTGCATCTCGTTCTTCATTGCATCTCTGATGTTATGTTTGAATGACATTAAAGTGAATCTATCTATCTATACTTGAGTCTTGACTCTTAAAACACAGGTTTTCAGTCCTGGTTCTTAAGGGCCACTATTCTGCATGTTATAGAGGTTTCTCTGCTCCAACACATCTCATTTGAATTAATGGGTGATTAACAGGCTTCTGTGGAACTTGAAAAGGTAATTAAATCACTGAATCAGCAGTGGAGGAGAGAAACAAGTAAAACATGCAAGATAATGGCCTTCGAAGACCAGGACTGAACATCCCAGTCTTAAAAACTAATCATTACCCAGTTCAGCTGTGAGTGGTCAGTTTTGAGTATGATCTGCACTCTTGAAAGCTGCCGAGTTGACTCTTCCCTCAATTATATTAAACACCTGCATAATTTTACTTCAGCTCTGAATAATTCCTGTTCATTTCCTGTTGCAGAGGCGTTAATGTCCAGGCATCACCTTGTAATTCCAGCGGTTCATCCAGCACGGCCAACAGTAACTCRTCATCTCCGGTCAAAAATACATTTCCCAACCAAACCAATGTATCTTCTGCCAAAGCCTGGCCACTTCCTGCTAATCTGGATGATCTCAAAGTAGGTGCTAGAGGAAAATAAAACTTCTAATAACCTTAACTAGTAAACCGATATCTATAATTGAAGTATGTTTTGTTCCTTTGTCCTCTAAGGTATCAGAACTCAGGCAGCACCTGCGTATTCGGGGCATGCCTGTCTCAGGCACCAAGACAGCCCTGATTGAGCGTCTCAGGCCCTTCAAGGACTCCACTGCAGACTCCTCCCCTCCAGGWTCATCTGACATCACCACCCTGACCTTTCCTGTCACGCCCACAAGTTCCCTTACTACCTACCAGTCACCGTCCTCTTCCAGCACCCTGTCACAGGGGGGATACTACCCTTACCCAAGTACTTCCTCCTCACCTCCAATCTCTCCAGCCTCTTCCGAGCTGTCTCTCAGTGGATCCCTCCCTGACAGCTTCAGTGACGTGCCCATGTCTTCACCAAACCAGCTCAATTTACAGCCATCTCCGGCACAATTAGGTGTTGAGGATGGAGGAAACCCAGGGATGGGAGAGGAAAGGGGTCCTGAGGGTCTGGAAGCTGAGAAAGACAAGATGCTGGTAGAGAAGCAAAAGGTGATTGAAGAGCTGACGTGGAAGCTGCACCAGGAGCAGAGACAGGTGAACAACCATTATCAAGTTTGTGTAAAGTGGTAGATAACAGCAGTGACTAGTWAGTTATATCCAGTGGTGGGCAGCGCTAATCCAAAAATTACCTCCGCAATTTCTAAAGCGCTTCTGAAAATATTTAGGTCCCCAACTTCAAAAAACTTATGTTATAGAAAAATTAGTGGAAGGTAATTTTAAAGCACATGTTCAGTTTGACACATATTAGCTGACAATTCATGTACAATATACACAATACTGCCAACTAGCGGTGTATGAACTCTTGTACAGCTTAAAGGCACAGTGTGTAGGATCTGTTGTTTTCAGTGACATCTAGTGGTCAACTGGAGCAACTAGATGGAAAACTTTAAAATCCAGGTAGAAAAAATGAAAAAAATCAGTAGGTCCTCTGGATGGGTTCTTCTTTAGTGAAACATTTCGTC